TTTCACATTATAATAAGTTATAATTTTTCTAGGTCCCGTCTTAAAGAACTTGCCTCTACATAATAATAATTATATGTATATTACCAAAAAAAAAAAAAAAAAAAAAAAAAAGGTCATACTACATTAAAGGTTTAAGATGAAATAAAATATTTATCTAAAGTTGTTTGGGTCAATGATTTATACTTTAAAGTTGTTACTATATTTTTTATCTTGTGGGTCGTAATAAGTCATTAGCATAGACACTTTCTTGTTGAAGCTAAAATATTTATAACTCTCAAGTATGTGTTAAAGCTTCTTGACACAAAACTTTGGTATTTCCGTACTATCATCCTTAGTATTATCTCTTTCCTCTTCTTGTCTAATTCTAATAATGATTTATTCTTCAGTTAAAACATACACGACTTGTTGCTCATTTGGATGATTGAAGAAGACATTAATATTCATTTGATTAGTGTAGTGAAGTTGTCGAATTTAATCATTTAATTTTACAATGACTCTCTGATATCTATTTTCGTACCATCCTAATGTTACTAAAACAATGAATTGAAATCTTAATACTACTAAAACATGAATTATAAAATAAGAAATCAAATCAATAATTTTTGAATCAAATCAATAATTTTTGAATCAAAACAATAATTCTTGTAACTACATTTTTATTAAGTTATAACATCTACGTAATAATAAATTTAGTTGGTCATAACATTATGATTATATATACAGAGGTTCTACTGTATTGAGTAATGGTTTATTAAAGTAGTTAATTGGAAGATTTTTATTTTGATTTTTTATTTTTGATTTTTGATATTTTTGTTTTAAAAATTGGTTGATTTTATCTTTCCTATTCAATATAAGGAAAAGTTATGCTGATTCTAGATGAAAATTAAATGAAATGCAGATGAAAACGTAACGAAGGGGATTATATATCATTGACGATAACTAGCATAAAAATATTCTTACTAGCATTTAATTATTCATTGATTTGAGAGTCGGCATTGGAGACTTTTATAGCTAGCTTTACACACATATATGCAGACAAATTCAACTTAAACAGTTCCAAATCATGTCAAGTACCAATTGTAATTTAAATTGAATTACTATAATATAAAACAAGGGAAGTCAAGGTGTGAAAATTATTAATTTGATTTAACTTGTACCAACTACATGTGGTATTTTAATTAGTCAATGTTTTGACCCCAGAGTCATGAGAAGAAATCTAAATTTCAAATACCAACTTTTAGTTTCATTTTTTTTCTTCTCAAATTAGTGAATAAACCACAAAAGCTCGAGCAAGCCTGCGTTCGAAGGCATGAGGAGATAAAAGTTAAATGTTTGACAATAAACAGTGCTGATGCCTCTAACAAGAAAGGAATTTTGATGACATCGTGATTGAGAAGCTATGGTTTCATGTGATCAATAGTGATGAAACCCAAATCAACTATTGTCGTATTTGGTTGACAAAATCATCGAGACACATAAATAAAGGGTTGAATAAGTAAAAAAATTAATCACGCTGATGAAGTGAAGAGGGGTTATGATATATGATCATGTGGTTGATATCAGCGAAAACGTCGAAATGGGTGTAATTGTTTTGTGATGAGAAGAGCACGGTGGTGGCTGATGTCTATTGACTCAGGATGGCCTACGTGATTGAAGGTTGATGGTAGATATGAGAGTGTTCACACTTAACCTAACTTCGAAATCACCAATAATGTTTACAGATATAGGGCATAATACTTTCTTAAATTGCATCTTTACCTTACTCTTTTCAAGTTCAAAATGACAAATTTATTGTAAATTGATGCTAAATATGAAGTAAATATTAAATATATAAATAACGGAATAGTAAAATGTAATACTTTCTTAGAGAAAAAGATGAAGTTCTTATCCATTAAGTAAAGTAAATTAATGATTTTTCGGACCAACTAAAAGATAATTACATAAACCAAAAATAATTTTGTCGTTGATGCGTAATTTTGACACCAACAATCACGCACATGCAAAGTGCTAAGAAAGTCTTAGAAATTACACGTGAATGATTATAAGAGTTGATTATGGTGTAGAGATTATATATGTTTGCAGAAACATAAATAATAGATTGACAAGAGAGATTTTTATAGTGATTCGGATGCTTAAAGCGAATCTTACATCCACTGTTATTTTATTATTTTCTGACTATTTTTCTGATATTGTCTGTAAGGTAACCAAAAAGGGAGAAATGTTTTATTTACAGACAAAAAAATAATAGTTGAAGCTCTCGTTTATTCCCAGCTCTCATATGCTCAGCCCTCTCTTTCGCAAAGAAAGGTGTTCATTCATACCTTTGAGGTCAATGTAATGAATGCTTCTGTAAGTTGTCTTGACATGTGAGGATCACTTCTTATTCCTTATCTTAAAATAGGATAGGATTAATATAAAATATCTCTTTGAGGCGGTTTGGGTTTTGATAGCTAATACCACTTTATCTTTGAGTACTTGTTAAATTCTAATTAGTGATGCTAATATCAATGTATATTTTTGGCACAACAGTTGTAATTAAGGATTCTGATGATCATTGTGTGAAGAATATTGGCGGACTAAGCATTCTTTGAAATAAGGCTATGCATTTATGCAATCAAAAATGGCGACAGAAACAAGAACCTATAACAGAAGTCAAAACATGTTTATCGAGCACTCAACAACCTGCTGCCTTGACTCTTAAATGTTAATAGTAATTCATGTCACCAGTACTAATCACTTATAACAGGAATTAGGATGATTTTATTTTTTATTTTTTTGTACATTTAGGCCGCCCTACATTATAGCCCGGAGAAAAATATATACCAACGGATTATCATTTATAATCACCAGAACCTCAAACTTATAATATTTAACATTAAATTAGAAATACGAAAACCTTACATATATATTTGTTCAATAGGAGTGATAATTTGGTCTGTATATCCATAAACTCATAGATTCTTACTCTAATGAAACGTGTTCGGGTACAAAATACATAGATACATCACGAGTGTAAGTGTTATTTTTCTTTTGTGGTACGTTTGAGTCAATCATATCCATTTGATACATGGATTAGTGGATACCAAGCCTTAATGAAGGTATAAAACAAAAGAGATATATAGAGCCATGATGGATTGAGATGAATTAATTAATTCTTACTTTTATAATGAATCCATAGTCTTGAATTAGATAGGCTTCTTTCAAAACCTAACCAATTGCCATTCCGCCTTGCAAAAATTTGGTCCCTCCCTGTGCTAAATGTTAAATATACAGTATACCAATTCTGTTTATCAAACATTTGCCTATTCTTGCTGTATCAGTTATCTCTTATAATTACTTCTATCCTCCAGTTACATCGTTTATCTACCATCAGATTTGAGAAGATTTGGCTGAAATTAACAAGTAGGTATCAGTCTTTGTCAAACTTATGCATAACAGTTGTCGAAAAGCTGAAACTTGTGTAGTTTTTAGAGAGGCCGTATGAAGACAATAATAGTTCTGATATAGACAATCTTTCCATCGTTCTTTTAAAATATTTTTGCCTCATTTAATTAATTAATAAAGAGTGTAATTGACTTGGAAAAACTTGTTCCTGGATTTTGCTAAGGCAAGCGACTTGGGCTAATTTGTTGAGCTTAGTGCTTTCCTCTTTTGACTTACGAGTGTAGACTTATAATATGCTGCATATAATTGAATTGCTTTCTCTTAAAATATTATGTTTTTCATAGAGTTGACGTATTCCTTTGTTCACGGGATTTCTAGATCTAATAGAACTGAATTGTAGAAAACAATATGCGAATAGTAGTTGGGGTTTAGTTTCTTTGATGTCCAATTAATTAAAAATCGTGGAAAAAGAAAATATACCACAAGCATATTTATGAAACGATTCCAATATTGCAATTACAAATCCCTGGTTCTAGACTTGCTAGTACAGACCAGGTTCGATCAGCTTTAGATTTTGCTTCAAGAAAGCAAGCAATGCAACCAATTAATAATTGGTGATATGAATGTATAATATATATAAGAATAGTGGAAGGTCAACCATTAATTTATGCCTAATTAATCTTCTTAAAAAAGCCATTCAATTTCAAGTTGTGTAACAGAAATTGGTGTACATAATCTTGACCTTCCATATATAATATCGACTCTAAAATGAGATTTGATGTAAACCTACTAAATTCATGCATATATATATAGGGAAACATAATCTTGGATTTATAAATTTGAAACTACTTATACTGTAGTATTTATTAACGTAATTAATAATATATGCTTAAAGCATGCAAATTTGAAAAAAAAAAACTACCAATCGTAAATTAACTCGATAAAAATGGAATTAAACTCATAAAAGAATATTTACATTAGCAAGGAGTAAATGCCTTAGTAAAAACACTCCTATATATATATATATATATATAATACAGTCACCGAAAGTCATATACCAAATTCATGTACCGAATGACGTGACGTAATCCTGACCGTTGATTAATATTAATTTATAATTAATCAACGGTCAAAATTATGTTACGTCATTCGGTACACTACTTTCGGTGACTATAACACTGTTCATATATATATATATATACCCCAAGAACACAATGATATATATATTCCATATTCTTCCTGGAATTTATATATTTAGGAGTAATTCAACATGGGGAGCACACGTCCGTAATTAATTGACTGCTTGTATGTGTTAGAAAAAGTACTCAAAACTCTTCATATTCTAATTGGAACTATACGAGACAGACTGATATGCATGTGATTTCACAATTTGTATTGTTATTGCAGACATGAAGATAAAAATAAACAAATGCAGCCACTTTGTGATGCCCTTGTAGCTAGAGCCGAGCAAGTTGTAGCCAAAACGTCAAACCACTTTACCATTGCCTTATCATGGTCTTAGAGAAGGCTGCCATGAGTAAAGAAGGGAAAATAAAAGGTACTTTTTGCATAGAATAAAAATGTAACTGAAATCTATGATTTTAATTAAGGTCCTAATTATGAAGATTAAGCTCTTGAATACAAGATTGCACAAGACAGATTTAACTTCTTAAACACCAATCAAACTATGAGAAACAAATTAACCAAAATAAATTTGTAGGTAAATTAACAACAAATCTCTTAATAAATTCAACAGGTTTTATGATATTCCACCTCCAAATTTTCCTACTGAGATACAGATTTACACCACCCACCCACATACTGTGTTGCTATTGATGGCCGAAGTACCTCGACTCTTCAAAGGTAGATTGAGGCAAGCTTTGTTGAGTACAAGTTTCATAGTCTGAAACCATTGTTGGACAGACAAAAGAGTTCATATCTTCCCAACTCGTGCTTTCCACAGAACTAGTCCCCGCGCTACCATTCACCATATTCATCTCATAGAAGCTCTCCAATCCATCTAATTGTTGCTGGTTGTTGTAGGCCATTTGATGATGATCACTTAGCTCTAATGGGAAGTTCTGAAACCCTTGATACATAATCGGAGCCGCTCCAGTAACATTAATGTACTGAGTGTTTAGCAATTGAGAAGCAGTAGTACTGTTCACGGATGTTGGTGAAGCGAGCTCAAAGAGTTGATCTTGGGAGAAAGAAACATGATCGAAAAGATACGGAACACTATTCGTGGTTATGGTAGTTGTGTTTGATTGCTGGTGGTCATCAGAAAATCTTCCTCCTAGCTTCACCAGCAGGTTCCTGAGTGACGCTTGGTCCCTGAAATGAGGATCTGATTGGTGTGCATTCACCAGTGGCATCACTACAGGTGGCTCAGTCGGCCAGTATGGGGTCTGATTCATGAACCCAGGAGCCATTAAACTCTCGCTTTCTCTCCTCATCTCTTGCCTGAGACCGCTGGCTCGCCGCGTCTGTTGCTCCTTGCGTTGCTTCCCTAAGAGCTTCTTCTTTAGCCTTGTGTTCCAGTAGTTCTTGATATCATTATCCGTCCTTCCCGGTAGTTGAGCGGCAATTATAGACCACCTATATATCCATGTGAAATTAATGTAAGTTTTCTAATTCACAAGTTATGGCCATAAATTAGTATCAGTAAAAGAAACTTAATTAACTAATTACCTGCTCCCTATACTTAAATAGAGCCCACAAATAATGTTATCTTCCTCCTCTGAGAACCCACCATGCTTAATGTTTGGACGGAGATAATTTAACCACCTGAGCCGACAGCTCTTGCCACATCTTTTTAGTCCTGAACATGCAATAGATAAAGTGAGTACTCCAGTTATTAATCTAAAAGGAGTTTGATCGATAATTAGAAAATTAAAGAAGATTTGTGTTGTAGGTTCTGATTAAGTTAGTTAATTAATTACCTATCTTCTGCGGCAAAGCTATCCAGTTGCCGCCGGTGCCATGCTCTTCAATATAAGCTTTGAGTTTGGCATCTTCCTCAGGTGACCATGGACCTTTCTTCACGTTAGCTTTATCACAGCAAGGAGCTCTCCCCATGTTTAATTTTTGTCTGTGTTTTGTGGTGTTGTGTTGTGAAATATAGCTATAGGCTGCTTCTATCTCTATCTTTTCTTTGAATGATAATGTTATTATATATAAACTGAGAGAGAGACTATAATAGCTGGAGAAGGAGAAACAAGAAGGGTAACAGGATTTCAAAAAGTAAAATTAGAAAAAGAGCTTAACTTTATGCATATAATATTGAAAAAATTAGAAATGCCAGGAGAGGAGACCAAGTTTTTTCTAATTGTCCTTCTTACTTAAGAATCTGTTAACATATATTTCCTTCAATACCATAGCCGTCTACCTTGACTCCCTCTCACTTATTTAATTTCCATCAACGACTGCTACAAAATACTTCATCCATGATCAACATCCTCTTCCGGTACACGCGGCACCAGAAGATACCTAACCCTATAATCACTGTTTTGGTGGAATGATGTAAGCTTATTCTATGATTAACGTGTGATAAAAGTCTTTATATCTTTATATTTTTTTAATAAACTATCAATATATTGAAACCTTATAATATATTTTGTTTGGTGAAATTGGAGGAGATGATAGAGAAAATCATGGAGCTGAGGAGGGAGACAACAGTGAAAATAGATCTTTTTTTTTTTTTAAGGTCACTACGTATATATGCGGTAACAAGGACTATCAATTAGACAAAATTATTCAAGCTATTTTGTCTTTTCTTTCTATTTATGATTAATGGAAAAGATAGGCTGATATGATATGCTGATTTTATATTTCTCACTCACTAAGTATAATTCAACAAGATTCCATCCCAATGAAATTATATTAAGTGAAAGGTGCAGAAATTTTTGCCATCGTTTTTTTATTGTTAATTAAGGACAACCTTCTAATGTTACTTTCATCAATGGATAATGAGTCGTAGATTTAATCTCAATTTTCTTTATGTTATTTTTTATTTTGTATTTTATATTTTATTTGTCTATTTCTTGGTTATGAATAAGTTCTTGAATTTTATGTAACAAATAGTTGACTCCTGTCAGAAATTATTTTATGGTTAATTATTGTCGAGGTAGTCATGTATACCAAATATGAAATATCTATTATATTTTCTAGAAGAATCAAACTGTTTCTTATTTCTTCTGCTTTCTCTTATATTTTCTAGAAGAATCAAACTGTTTCTTATTTCTTCTGCTTTCTCATTGCAGTCGTTGAAGTAGTGAGATGTTGAAAATTTTGATGTCACTGAGAATATTTATACAAGATTTACCAAATAATAATAATAATAATAATAATAATAATAATATATGGTCCTGTGCACTTTAAAATTAGAGATTTGCCCATTTTTTAATCAATAAAAATAAGTTAACAAACGAATTTCATAAATCTAACGTAATAACTAATAATTAGTTTTTGATAAATTCATCAGCTAGAAAAATCACCATTAACCGATTATCAGTTATTATATTAAGTTTGTCAGAGAAAGTTTGTGAAATTCATTTGTCAGTTTAATATTGTCTCTTTTTAAATACTTCAATCAATATCCTCAATTTTACTGTTATTACTTGATCACAGTTAATATGTTAATTAATTTGGAAGTAATTTTGAAAAACTTTAAAGTTAAAGCATTTTAATCTGGAAAGGTATTAGAAAAAGTTTTCTAAACTAAATTTATCAAAAACAATAAAAGTTTTCTAAACTAAATTTATCAAAAACAATCTGTAATTTTATGAACCTCCACCACAAAAGTTTAGAAAACAATTCGAATACCTTAATATTTTTTTTTTTTTTTAAATAAAACGTTCCAGGAGGATACATATTATAAACATTTTGAATAATAATATATTGTTACTATTGAAATACGTTTTTGATGATGCTAAAAACACTTTGAATTACAATTACAATATAATCTCAATGGTTTATAAATTACAAATCACCATTTTTCTCTTTCAAAATTCATCTAGAAGCTGAGATAATGTCAATTTACTACTCTGATATAGAATATTATAATGAAGGTTAATCTGTATTCTGTTATGGTTGGTGACCAAAAAAGCCAAACACGAAGAAATATACCCAGAGATTCCACTTTGGGAGAGCAATATTGGCCAATGGATGGGATTCACCCTGAATATTAAAATAGAATTGGAAGAAAGTTTTTCAAATCATTGGAACAATAATAGATTGCTTTTGCTAATTCAATATATAATTGACCAATGACCCATATGCCATTTGGGACCAAATAATTAAAGGATAATCAGAACCCACGATGGAGATCCATACATAGTACTCATACTAATTTCCAGGAAAAAGAAACAATCCCAACTGTCATGTCAAATGCATCAACATTAAGACCTTATTGCCTGTCTTTTATGCTTTTTATTATAACATAATCAATCTTTTTCTTGTATTCACAAGAGGGCGAATGTACACATGTACGTGTATTTTATGAAATGAGCTGACTTGACTCTCCAGGAATCAAATTTATGGAATTGTAAAGTCAAAAGATGGGAATTAAAAAATGATTGTTGAATTTTCACTGTGTTTAGATTTGCTGGTTGAATTTTCACCGTGTATAAAGTACATTTAAATTTTAACTTATTCAATACACGAGGAGAAATGGTCCAAATGGTAGGCCACCTTTCTTCCTCTTGCCTTTGAATTTGCTGCAGTGTGCGTGTGTAAGATTGGACCTACAAATTACTTTCATACTTTGAAGCAGTCTTTGTTAGAAACATATCTCCAGTCCCCTTTTCTTCTCAAGTTACTTTCTTAATGATGCTTTATCGAGGTATTTATTTAGACATGCATGTGCCCACCCCAATGACATCTGAAAAGCTAAACAAGCAAGTGTAGAATGAGCCATTAACAGCTGTTTATTTATTGACTAGTTTTATGGTTTTTGACATCTTAAAATTATTGATGATTACTTTTTCTAAAATGTACTTTTGTTATTTCGATAATTTGTTGTATAAAAACACTTTGAAATGCTTTCTGTTGTGAAGCATTGTTTCTAGGACTACTCTAAAAGGGTATCAAAAGGTTTACCAAGAACAAAATATATATCTTCAATTAAAAACTTAACACATGGATAACTTACAAATGAACTTACTGCCGGAAGAAATCAAGTTGAATAATTCTAAAGCAGACTGAAGCAGAAACGAGAGCAGTTTGAAAAATTCTAAACATCCCTATCAGCTTTAAATCTCATGGACTGAAACAATTACGTGAGAGGCTTTTGAATCGTCTGGTCTGCTAAGAAAATCGTTCAACTTAAGTACTTAAAAACTCAGAGGCAATCAACTTAATTTCAAAAGTAAGTAGGACTAAGATGAACCATGGAATTGTCCCTTCGGTTCCAATCTTTTACTCGTCTAATCGTAGGTTATGCGAAACCAGTTCCTGAAACAACCCATTAATGAAATCTCTATACATTGTTCTAACTAAGTAGACTAAGATACCATGGAATTGGTCACCTGCGTTTCCATCTTTACTCGTCTAATCTGTAGGTTATGCGAAAACCGTTCCTGAAAACAACCCATTAATGAAAATCTTCTAGACATGTATCTACTCAACAACAGTTCCCACTAGAACTAAAAGAGATAAATTAATATTCCGACTTTGCATTGCATCTGGAGAAAGTGTTTTATTTCAACGGCGATGCAAACTGGTCAGAAAAAACTTGTACGTATGTAAATGTTAATGTAATTCATGTTTTTTTTTTTTTTTTATGAGAAATAATTTTTTCCCATATAGCAATTAAATACGATCATGCGATGAATCAAATCCAAGATATGTATTTGATTGCACACAAGTTGGCCGGATACCTCGGTTTCCAAAAAAAAAAAAAAAAAAAAAATCCAAGATATATATTTGAGTTTATAAGTTGCTGGCTATACACGTATAACATTATTATTAAAACCACCTATTGAGTATAATTAATCTGATAGTTTCCTTCAATTGATAGTTTGTTCTAAACTAAAATAAGTGAAAAGACAACAGAATTTTAGCTATTGGGTATTGGAAATAAATAAATCAGGTAATTTAGCTAAGATTTGGATCAGCAATACGTAATGCAACATCACAGTGATAGATGCAGCTGCACATTGACCTCATGTTAAAGACTTGAGAATAATGGGAAGGAAGTAAAATATTGTATAAAATAGACGGTTACAAATGCTTTTAAGAAAGAAATGAATAGAAACTTTCTAAAGCGTTTCTTTGCTCTTCAATCAAACATCAAAAGTCATTCAGCGATGGATGCATAGATATGCTGTTTATATTTATTGTGTTGAAAAGCTTGAGAAAAGAAGGTGCAAAGGTCAAAAAAAAAAAAGTAGAGATAAGACAAAAATGCAGGTAATCCCAAAACATATATACATGCTTTTGAAGTTTCAGTGGTAATGGCTGTAACACAATTAAGACTTAATTGAAGATTGTGGTGGTATCTTTATTAGACCGTTCCCACAAGGGTAATACCACCGTCTTGATGGAATTGTTTTAAATTAAATATTTTTGAGTAATGTGCATGTCACTTTCCATGAGTTAGACCTCCTCTTTTCTTATTATATTTTAATAATATCCTAATGCAGGTATGCATTTGGGAGGAAGGTGAATAGAAACATACTTCATTTCCCTCTGCACCTTCTTTTCATTTCATCTTATTTTCCAAATCAGACAATCAGCTTCAAATTATATAAAATCTAGATGAAAATATACCCCAAAAAAGAAACAAAATTCAAAACTATTATATATGAAGCAATGTTTTAAAACCCAACCCGGGGTGCAACCCGGCAAAGTTTCTGGGTCCTAGGTTGACCGGTTGACAAAAAATTTTAAAATTCAGCAAATATACCCCTAAAAATTACCTGTAAGTCTCTATATGTTTGAATTTTATCAAACACACCCTAAATACAAATCGACCGGCGACCGATTGGCGACGGCGACACCCCAGATGCAACCCAATCGTCCCCTAAGCCCATTTTCACTAAACTCTACCCAAGATCTGGCTGAAATAGGTTCGATTTCGGCCAAATCTCACCGACACAGGCGTGGGTATTCCAGGCCACATCTCATCCACGTCGGCAACGACAACCCTCCCCATCACCCAGGAATCACTCCCCTCCTCCTCCCGACCAAAACCCACCTCA